ATCGACGTCGCCTTCTGTAACAAGCAACATATTGAATCAGCCGGTGATAGAAGCGAAACAATGAGACTGAATACGTTCTTGTAATAACATAAAGGAAGACAGCACGGTAAACATCACGAACAGAGATGGTTGGACCACATGGTAAGGAGGTGGGAGGATAAGCTATATATGTATTTGTTGGACATAAAAATTAGCACAGATACGAATAGGCTATGAAATCATAACAATCAGGAAGAACATTCAGGTGTCGACATAAGTAAAATTGGCAAAGTGTTTATTGAATTGGGAAATGGGAGTATGAATATAGTAGTCTTGTGGAAGCTACAAGATAGTTCATTTTCATTGGGGGTGATACGGAGATAAAAAATAGAACAACTTTTATGGAAGTAATAATCACATCCAAAATTTATGGAAGCACCAAAATAGAACACATGGAAACTGGTAACTACAAAGGAATTGCCCCACTATTAGTTGAGACAAACATGCTGAGGAGGGCAGGTAAGTATGACACATCGTTTATGCCGAAGAATCCAAGCCACCTATGTAAAATCCTGTCAGTGCTGTATTAGAATAAAAGCGCGAGGTTACCTTGCTGGCCTCTTTTTCAGGCACTCGTCCACCTGGGAGAGAGATGGCTTCATTAAGCCTGGTTCACAGAGCATTCTCGAATGGAACAGTCCTATTAATGGTTCTAAGAATATTGAGGCATGTAGTTGTTCCCGCAAAATCCACAGGCTAGATTAATCAATTTACACAACGGAACATTTACTTCGCTATCCATTCAGCGATAGCTTTCCCTATAAATCACAAACGTAACCAGGATGAGGGTACCTAATAAAAGGAGGGAACAATCGGACTGTATATCATATGAACTGGAAAGCAAGTAACACCTATTATATCTGATATGCGAAGAATCTATAAAAAAACTGTAGTCATAAAGTATTTGGGTATCTAAGAAAATTTCAGTTTTGTTGAAACACATAAGATGCTATTGGAACCAGCAACTGGGTATCCAAGAAAGATTTAGTTTATGGATATAACCAAAAAATAGTAAACCATCTATGCAGGTCATAACATTTTGGCTGGAGTAAATATAAATGGATTCAACTATATGTGATTTTGCACCTAGGCAGAACCTCACAAAGAAGTTTGTATAGGGATGAAACACAGATATTGCCATGCATCTCATCTGACTTGCAGATAAAATTACACAGTCACCATGTATCCAAGGTCCAATCTAATGGAAACATAAACTGAAATGATCTTATGTTCTGTTGTCTATCTAAGATGAACGGTACTGCAGATACACAACAATATTCATAAGAATCACACCCAGCAGTCATGAACCACCAATCATCTTATTATGGCATATTATTATGCTATCCTAAAATCCTAAAACCTAACAGGTTGTAAGGTTTGCAAACATACATATTTACTTCCTCCCAGTGAACATAAATTGTACATACCTTGCGTAGAACAAAAACATGGTTGAGAACACAATAGGCTCCATGTCATTTAGAACAAAACACAAACTTGTCAGCCTTTGCATAGCAGCCTCCAACTTGTTTTTGAGGCATAAATAATTATACTGAAGTCAATAGAACGACGGCAATATTTAAACAGCGATGTGAAGTAACAAATTGACTGACATCTTAATTGATCAACTATTATCAGGATAGCTCTCATCTCCTGGAGTTAACAGGCTTGAAACACCTTTTGCTCTTGTGCTATTTATGCGAAGAGCTGCTTGCTCTGGGGAAAGCTGGCAAGATTTTAGAAATGAGACCTAAAAGATATAACCTATAAGCCAAAAATCATAGATAAACTCAGATATTTTCTACCTGCATCTCTAATGAGCCAAATCCACCTTCTAAATCTAGAATATTTATGAAACCTTCTAATCCACCCACGGAGAAAACGTGCTGAGTAATAAGCTACAAAGATATATATTGTCAATATAATACTGAGGACTTCTGCACAGGTGATGTTAAGGATATAAATAGCAGTACCTTTCACGAATCTTTCTGAAAATATTGGCACAAGTTTGCGAAAGGAAACCTAGATACACACACAACCTTGAAGCATACGTTTAAGTATACTCTGAATGGCTATCTCTTCTTAGTTTACCCACCTGATATGCTAAAGTAAGCGATCGAAGTCGACGCTCAGTAAATTTGCCAATTACAGCATAAACTCTTCGTTCTATCTCCGACTTATTGTTGGCGAGGCTGAGAATCTGCATTAAATTTGTTGATCAATGAGATGTTGCAATCCAGTTTCTTAATAGCTGCTCCGGCATACCTTTACTAACACGGTAAATTTTCCCATCACTACTATCAATGTATTTGCGACATGGGGGAATAAATCTTGTTTGTTTAATAAAAACAAATACTTCTATATATGTATCATTGGAGAGAATGCTAGTGACATACTCAACTTGGTCACATAAAGCTAAGAAATTGTACATATGAAAATGATTGGAGATGGCAAGAGCCGAAGGCCAAAATTAAACAGTTTGGACTGAAGTGCTGGCATCATCTTTGCCGAGGTAGTAAGACTATAATCTGGAAAGACAACAATGACACGCACCACACACATACTAAAAGGGTTCATCTATGTCCAAATGAACTGTATTACTGTAGCCCATATCCAAATTGGAAGCTTCACTATTTCAATAATTTAGTTTACTCCAGTTTAGGTAAAAAATAAGATTCATGATCAAGGTAAATCATTGTCAGACCTAGTTGGTGCTGAATTGAGAATCCAATATCATTGTTTGAGCATGATATTTTTTTGAAAGAATTCAATATTGTTCGTATTGAGGAAAGGGGATTAATCTGTACAGACCATGAGATAGTTACTTCCTGATCTAGGAGGCTTATTACTTGCCCAAATCAGTTTTTTCAAGGAAATCATAAGCGTTGAAAGTGTTAATACTTTCATATGCGTGTGCTAACTATTGTACATAGCACTTAACCTCATGGGAAATAAGAAGACACAGATGCCAACTGGAAAAAAAAATTAAGCATAACAAATACCCCTATCTCTGTCATAAGGCAGATACAATATAAGTGCATTATCTTATATACTGAGTCAGATAAGAAAGAACCACTATGCTTTCTATGCTTTTTAAAAAATGTGATGAAGAAAAATTGCTGGAATTTTACGGTTTTAACATGATCATTAATCCACATGGAGAGGAAGCATGCCAAGCCAGTTCTAATCAAATTCTCAGGCCCCGCTTGGTTGGGTTGTTGCTTTTTAAAAAGTAGCTGTGAGTTGTGGCTTTTAGAAAAGCAGCTATGTAAAAGTAGGTGTGAGAAAGCCAAAGCCGGTTTGGTTCCGCAGCTGTGGCTTTTGAAGAAAATATCGAGCGACCCCACATGTCATTCACAGTCCAGTCCACTCAACTCTCTCCCTCTCTCACTGACGGGTCACGGGTGGGTCCTGCTCGTCAGCCCCTTCTTCTTCCTCTTCTGAAGCCGTGAAGGGGCGCCAGCGAGGGGCCTGGAGCCCGTGCCCACGGCAGTGCTCGCGCCCGGCGGAGCTCTCGCCCGCGGCGGTGCTCGCGCGCGGTGGAGCAGGCCGGCCGCCGAGGCAGGGGCCTGGGCGCGGATGGTGCAGGTGCCGCCACCGGCTACCGGAGCTCGAGCGGAAATCCAGGCGAGGGAGGCGCTCCAGTGAGGATAGTGGTCGCGGAGGTGGGGCGCAGAAATCGGCATCGGCGGAGGCGCGGAGCTACGGATCGCAGAAATCGAAATCGGCATCGGCGCAGAAATCCTCCGCACGCCGCCGTTGCGTGGGCCACGCTCGCCGCCGGGGATGGACTGCACGCTGCCGTCGCATGGAAGGCCGCGCTCGCAGCCGAGCAGTAGAGAAGACTGTGCAACCTCCAATTTGGCAACCTTCATACACAAGACACATTGGACGGGAGAAGTTAGTTGGAAAAAAAAAAAGCTCTTCATAACTTCACAAAATCTACATGTACAAGCCTAGAGCAGTACAGACGAATGACAGATAAACTATTACACCTGTAGATGACGTGAAAATCAACAAACACATTTATAACATAAGTAAGGATAAAACTAAGAAATGACAGTGTTTTTCTCTCTACAACAAATCAATGAACAATACTTTTTAGAGGGTGCTATACATGAAGTAAAATCTTTAGTGCAGTCTCGAGAGAAAGCAAGACCATAAACAATTTATTTTAGTTCTGAAAGTTGATGGAAAGGGAATTATTTGCTTGAAGAGGCTTTCCAAAAAGCTGACTATAACGACAATAGCGCTGCGCCATGCGTGGCTTTGGAACGAGAAGCTGAAGCTGAGTATTTATTTGTTTGGCTGGATTCTAAGAAGAAGCCGAAGAAGACAGAGGAAAGCTGATCAAAAGTCGTAGAAGGTAAAGAGAAGCGGAAGAAAGCCCCATTCGGTAAAATCCGATCCAAGCGATCTGTGCCGTTGAACTGAAGATCGAACAGCCAGGATTCGGGGTGACATGGCCAGCACACGGTAAATATAGGGCTAAAAATTAAAGTCGCTTTGACTAGGAGGGAGTAATAAGGAGGCGTTGAGGACTATTTTTTCTTTGCTAAGAGAGAGTAGGAACTGAGGATTAGCAAAACGAAAAGAAAAAGAAACCACATGATACACGTGGGCCTTCTCGGCCTTCTTGGCCCGTATAATTTGGTGGCAAACCTATCCGCACGCCCAGCATGCATGGGGCTCCTTGTCTTTTGTTTTTTGAAACCTTCCAATCCTCACTTGTGTTGGGCCGCTCCAACCCAGAGCCCAAAAGCTTTCACACACAGATCTGCGCCGTTAACACCACATCCCACGGCCACTAGCACCAGCTCGGGCAATAAAGGGGTCTCATTCCGACCCCGCCGTCGCATTTCCTAGGGTTTAGCACCTTCGCACACCCGCGCAGCGAGCTCGCCGCCGCCGCCGCCATCTTTCGTCCGCTCGTGCCCGCGAAGGAGCCGTAGGCACCGAGCAAGATGGTAAGATTCCGGAAGCCTTTGCGTTCTACACTATGTCATCTAGTTGTTTCCATCGATTTTTGTCTCTGATTTTTCGGGCAGTTGTTTTGCCCTTCGGTTCACCGTTTACTAATTGGCTCTTGATTCGATTCAGCGAGTCGCCGGGTAGCCTTAGGAATATGTGCATTGTATTGTCCGTTCCCAGTTATGATTACCTGTTTGAGTTCTTGATTCATCGTTTCTTTAGTGTTTATATTTGCCTTGTAGACAGAGGTCCATTCAGGTTGGATCTATATATGTTTGATGTATCATGGCGAATTTGATATGTAGAGCAGATTGCTTCCTGTGTTTTAGTGCATCTCCATAGATCTTACGATGAGATGGCAATAATTTTCTCTTTTAATCTAGTTATTTTTCTAATTTTAGTTGAATTATATTACTGGTCGAGCAGTGATTAGTCTAGGTGTATCGGGCTCTGTTACCGGCATTTCTGTTGTCTTTCGAATCATGATGGAGCTGTAGAGAAACAAAATGGTAGGGTAAGCTTTTGTTTTACAAAATATAATTTGATTGTCAATTTCAGGGTATGAATGATAGATGGTGCACAATAAATTAAATGACTTCGAACCTCCCTTACTGGACCATTGTAGTTTTGAAGCTAATGTTCTGTTTTACGGCCAACATATTGGGTTTTTTAGGGCGACATAGGTTAGTCCACTAGTATCAGCCAATTCTGTTGTGGAGTATTAGGAATTGTTTTTTTTTTCTGTCAAAACCACTTCTCATGGAGTGTTGCGGTTATACTATTTGCTTTTTCTTTGGCCATTATGTCCCAAGATGTTCAAGGAGTTTAAAACAATTTGTCTTTGTTTAGCGAGCTGTATATTTTGCTATTTTTTGTTCATGCATATAATCAGTGTTAGCTATATGCCTATATTCAACATCATCTTATGGCTTGTAACGTTTTATTAATTTCCCTGTTATTAACACTTAAACAGGCGAGGGGTTTGAAGAAACATCTGAAGAGGCTCAATGCTCCGAAGCATTGGATGCTTGACAAGCTTGGTGGAGCATTTGTATGTTTGTCTTAGACTTGTAATATGATGTTCAATTACTTACCGGATACTGGTTCATCTGTGCTCATTCGTGTTTTTCTGTTGAGCAGGCACCCAAGCCTTCATCTGGTCCCCACAAAGCCAGGGAGTGCTTGCCTTTGATCCTCATCCTCAGGAACAGGTTGAAGTATGCTCTGACCTACCGTGAAGTCATTTCAATCTTGATGCAGCGACATGTTATGGTTGATGGAAAGGTCAGGACTGATAAGACATATCCATCTGGATTCATGGGTAGGTTGCGTGCCAGATGTGATTTTGGGTGTATGCCTAATGTCATGGCTATTGCAAGTTACAGATTGAATTATTGTTTACCTGAATCCTGCAGATGTTGTGTCAATTCCGAAGACGGGGGAGAATTTCCGCCTTCTCTATGATACCAAGGGGCGCTTCCGTCTCCACAGTATCAGGGATGATGAGGCCAAGGTAATGCATCACAGGTTCCAATAGAAGTGTTTTTTTTCTTCTTCTTTGCTTTTCATGGTTTTGTGCTGTCACTGTTTTCCTGTACCCAATGTTTCAAAGGCGTCGCCTAGGCGTACCCAGCTTGCCTTGGGAAACAGTGGCACCCTGTCGCCCGCCTAGGTGTCCAGGCGGACCAGCACTTGCCTGGACGCCTAGTTGCCTTTTAAACACTGTCTACCTATGAAATGATGTGATTATTTTGTTTCTTTAACCAAGTAATTGTGGTAAGACGTCCGATTTGTATGTATTTTCATCTGTGGAAGGTTCTTATCTGCAATTACTAGCTTTCCTGAAGCTTGTGGTTGTGTAATGGAGCAAATATGGTGCCCCTTTGTGCCAGTGTAGTTTCTCCATGTTTGTTCTTATTTTGATTTCTGAAATTTTATTTCTCCTATAGTCTGTTTCAAATTTTCCTTAATGTGATCTAATGAGAACTGTTGTGCAGTTCAAGATGTGCAAGGTGCGGTCTGTGCAATTTGGGCAGAAGGGCATCCCTTTCCTGAACACCTACGATGGGCGCACAATCCGCTACCCAGATCCCCTAATCAAGGCCAATGACACCATCAAGATTGACCTGGATACCAACAAAATTGTGGACTTCATCAAGTTTGATGTTGGGAATGTCGTGATGGTGACTGGTGGAAGGAACACTGGTCGTGTTGGGGTGATAAAGAGCAGGGAGAAGCATAAGGGCAGCTTCGAGACCATCCACGTTGAGGATTCCCTGGGCCACCAGTTTGCCACCCGCATGGGCAACGTGTTCACCATTGGCAAGGACAAGAAACCGTGGGTGTCTCTTCCCAAGGGCAAGGGTATCAAGCTTAGCATCATTGAGGAGGCAAGGAAGCGCAATGCTGAGGCTGCTGCTGAGGCCTGATTCTCGCAACTTAGGCTACAGATAAACCATTGCTGTAAGCATTCGATTCCATAGGTGCAGACATGAAACTGATGGGACCCTAGCGATATCATGGAGCTGTTTTGAACACCGAAGCTGCTGGTTCACATTTCTTCTTCTTTTTTCCGTTGCGATTTTGATACTATATTTATCATATGATTTCGTTTATTGAGCAAATGAGACATTACAAGGTTGCGACCTTTGTTCACTTGTGATGATGCTATTCTACTTGTTCTGCTCACTGAAGCTCTTGCAACCATGTTAGGTTTAGGGCTACAGTTGGCTTGTTTATCTGCTACATGCTATACATGTTTGTGTTTCAGATGATGATATCCGTGGTGCAGAGCTTTAGTAGACACCCTTGATATCTTTGAAACGACGAGCTCTAGTTTGGACTAGCAGATTCTTTTTGAAACTGAATAATTTCCAGCTACTTATTTTTTTCATCTGAAACATTAGCATGTTGACCACACGATAGACTGTAGTTATGTGCCATTCTGCCCCCAGCTGGATACTGTCATCAATAATTCAACACAAAAGCAAAGTGATGCTTAAAAGCTTCACCAAAGAGTCTGGGGACGCAACAATTCACAGGCTCCCAGCATATATAATACAATATGCAAATAGATCATCTCGAGGAGGGGGAGGGGGAGGGAGGATGGCATCCATCTATTCCATAACAATAACAATATACATGAGCCCGTATCTTTGAATGGTGGGTGACAACGGCAATGCAGGGTTGGGTGATGCTTTACTGAGGCTTCTCGTAACTGTTCTGATCCCTGAACTCAGCTATCTTGCTTCTGATCATCTCTGCCACATGAGGCTGAACAAACATGCGTGTGGGATCAAGCATGTGCACGATGAACCTCTCTGATGCAGGCATCGAAGCATTCAGATTAACAATGAACTGTGCCATCGGTACATCACTGAGAAAAAGAAAAGAACGAATAACATGAGTGTGTATTATAAAGAACTTCAGTAGGACAAAACGAAAAACAACAAAGATGGATCAGCTTTTCTCGGGAGCATACCAGGAGATGAACAACCCCTTGATAGCATTCACCATCTTGTCTGTGCTCTGGAAAAATATTTATATTTCTTTTAGCTTTTGTCAACAGTCAACCCGAACCAACAGGCATATATATACACACAATGCATATAGGATGGTGTTTAATGACAACACAGCGGTGATCCTAGAAACACACTTAAAATAAGGATGATGAAGATTGAAGAACCATGTGCCTTAAAAGATGGTCTGCACACTAGGAGATGCTGATGATGAGCTCTGATATACAAAATGACCAACATCTAAACCAACAATACCTACCGCAGGTCTGAAAAAGATACAAGAAAATGGTTATTTTTCAAATATAAAACTGAAACCATATTAATATAGAATTGTCCATTGCTATTTATCTTATTCATTTTGACACCAGCATGTAACTTTGAGCAATTAGGAACAAACAGTTTAAACATGGAGCCACAATGGAAAAAAGGGCATTTTCTGTTGTTTCATTGCTATATCTGTGTGAACTACTAGCATGCATCACAAGTCTACATTCAGTATGGTGTATGTAAGATGTCATAGAAACCCTAGCTGTAAAAGTACAGATAGTTCAAATCTTGGGGTGAATACTGAATGGAGAGGGCACTTATTTTACTTGATGCGTTAGCGCCAGGAGGGAGAATCAACAAGGTCAAGAACAGAGTTGGGTTGGGTTATCTGACACTTAACTGAAGCTTTGCACACGGGGCCGTGGCCCCTCCAACACTTAACTGCATTGTTGAACATCTCAGCTGAATTGTTGAACATCACAGGAAATTCAGAGTGAAATCATAGTACACTGTGCAAGGTGGGCAAGATGCCGTTGGGCATGGGATTTCAATTAAACAGCCAACATGACTGCTCACAGAAGCAGGTAACTAGCTCTATCTCCCAGAACAAACAATTCTTCGAAAAAAAAACTGCATCTAGCTAGGGTTTCTTAGCTAGAAAATAAGCAACCGTAAGTTTGGATGGTTTACCAATCCAATCTGCCGGCCCTTCTTCGTCTTCTGTTGACGGCAGCTGCCTGCCCTTGTTCTCCTTCGGTAGAACCAGAATCAGAAGAGGTCGCCTGGCAGGCTGGCGGCTGCCGTTCTCCTGGCCGCTGTCCCATCGGATATATACACATGCACGGAGTATTAAATATAGACTAATGTGGTAGAACCTCCTAAGAAATCGGGGCCACGTGTATCTATTGATGTCAAACATTTATAGGACCAACAACTTAAGTTCAACAACATCGGATATTTAAACAGGATCCAAATCACAGTCATTGCAGATTACAACAGTTTCAAATATACATACCAGAATTAATTTTAATAATTGCATACAACCTTGGGATAATATTACATTAACATTATTTACTAATTTACATCATCCCTCATCGTCATCGACTTCAAACACCGATATGCGGCGGGGACCATCTTTTGCGAAGCCTAATTAGTCAATAATTTGACAATGTAGTGCTACAGTGTAAGGATACATTACTATAATGTTTCAAGTTTTACTAATTAGACTTAATAAATTTTTTCTTCTCTCATGTTTTAGTAATTCATCAGACGGATTCTGTAATTTATTTTTTTATTAGTATCCATATATCAACACCCATTACAAAGCCGCCTCCCTCATGTCTCCGTGGGCATTCGTCTTAGTATCGGATTCTTACCGAGTATGTGACTAGTACTACAAAGTGTCTCGCTCAAATTTTAGATCAGTCACCCGGATCTCTAACCTTTCTACCTTCTTTCTTTCTTTGACCAAGATGCCATCTTTGATTGTATCGAAACTTTTACTTTGAAAACCTACCGACAGGAAGGTAAACAATTAATCGAAAAGAGTGAGGCAAGCTGCAATAAGCATAAACTTTTCAAAGTAAACAAGGTATGGTTTAATGCTGGGCTGGGCTCAGGATCGGTACCACAATCAAGGCCTCAACCGGGATTCTTCCAGCCAGATTTTGGGCCAATAGCAGCCCGGACATGTTGGGACCGAAAGGTTTTTCTTTGTCTTTTTTTTTCTTCAAAAATATATATTTTATTTCCACATTATTTTTTTTCTAATCTGTACCTAATATTAAAGAGCAACATATTTATTTCGACCTACCTTTTATATTCTCAAAATGCTCCCACGCGTGGTCCGTTATGTTTGGTGCCCTTCCTATCCATTGTGACCTGCACCTAGCCCCCCGATTTTTCTCTCCCCTCGGCCCATCACCATCCAAATTCATCTTCCAACTCGCTCAAGGTCAGATGTCCTACACTGCTGCATGCCACCCCTTGACATGCACGACACTGGTTGGAACTGTAAACCTGTGATCATATGAGAACCAAAGATTTTCAGGACCCTCGGAACATGCAGGGAGGACATTGGCCATGGGCGGATCGGGTATTCATTCGCTCGGTTGTTTCTTCACGCCGATTCTTCCTTTTTGTTGTTTTTGCAAATCAAAACCTAATTAGGCCCCATTCGCTTCGCTAAAAAAATAAGCCGAAACATTATTTCGGCTGATTTGTTGTGAGAGAAAAACAATATTCCCGCAAAAAAAATGCTGAAAAAGACGGATTATAAGAGAAGCGAACATGGCCTTATTTATTTTCCAGTTGACGTACCTATTGACTCAAAGTTATCCCACCAAAAGTCCAAGTCATATCTTGGTTCCAAACTCCTTTCCGACACAAATCAGAATATGCACGTCACAACATGTATCACTATGGAAATATAGTCCAAGTGCATCTTTATTTTCTTTTACAATTCCTAAAGGCAACACCTATCATATATATCTGTATCTATACCTATATATTTAATATTAGAATAGAAAAGAGATTCATCCGTCTGTTTTTTTTTACTTTCCACAAGGCCCTTGTGTATCTCACTCATGATCTCTTCTGAGACCTGGACTTATGGTACATGCTCATCATATGAGTTAGAACCGTCGGCATTCGGGTGCCCAACGATAGTACAGAGACATATAGTATATGAGTTTCCCTTTCGCGCATGAGCAGGCGTAGCTAGCAGTGGATCAGCAGTGGCGTCTCCCAGCGCCGCTAAGCGATAGCAACGAGACATATAGGCCAACATGCCCATATATTCTTCTTCTACTCTCTGCTTATGGTAGGAGTTATTGAAAGAGAGAGACTCAATCAGCGGTTGGATTCGTTTGTTGCGAAAGAAAGGTACTAGAACTATCTAGGAAAGAAGAGAATAGAGAAGGGGTCTGAGTGAATGGATAAAGGCAGTAGAGAAGAAAAATTAAATAAGTAGGCTTACGATGATAAGCGAGCCCTATCCGCCAGCAGTGTGAAATGAAAAAAATGGTATTTACTCATTGTTGGGCTTTCAACCTTGAATATCCTCGCTTTCCCCGAAGCCAGTTAACAAGTTTCTAACTAATGTACCGCAAATTGTCTTTCTTGTTCATGAGAGACTTCGCAATTAATAAACAAGGGAGAACCTTCACAGCCCTTTGGTGATGTCTAAAGAGCAGAGCCGAAGGTAAAAAGATGAAGTCGACAACGAAGGGCCGAAGGTGATCGGGCCACCTTGTAGAGAAGCAAAGCCAAGGGTGAGCGAAATAAAGCCAGCATGGGTCAGGCCCATAAAGACTCATGCCAATGACCCGTCTCATCCTGCGAAGCCTGTTGGACGAAGTAGAAATGCTGGTCCGACTATGTAATGACTAGACTGCCCTTTTGATTATAGAAGGTCTGATTTTGATGTAATGGCAGATTCATTGGTAAAATGGGGATAGTAATAGGATTGCCAATGACTCCACCCCCTATAAATACTCCCTGGCATGTACTTTTGTCAGACATGAAAATTTTATCCAATAGAGCTAAATCCACTCTCTGATGCTTGTGTGATTGTTTCACCAACACTCATATAACCAATAACAATTGTAGTTCTCAAATAAGAAAACGTGCCAATTTATATTGCC